GCTGCACGTAGAACTCAAGAAATGAGCATCACCCCCTCCCAAGATTTTATGGATGACTCAACAACCGATGGTGGCTCTACCTATGCCGGAGATTCTGATTGATTAGTATTTTAGAATTTATTATAAAATGTATTTTGTAGCACTTGTCAAATTAATTTGTACTTGTACTTCATATTTCAAAATTGTAAACTTGTACTTCATATTTCAAAATTGTAAACTTGTACTTCATATTTCAAAATTGTAAACTTGTACTTCATATTTCAAAATTGTAAATTTGTAGTTGTACTTCAAATTAATTTGTAAACTTGTACTTCATATTTCAAATAAATATGCGTTCATTTTTTCATATGTAGCACTTCTCAAATTAATTAATTGGTTAAAAACTTACGACTTAAAATTATTTTTCTAAAATTTAAAGGCGGTTTTTAAATTAAAAATACATTTACAATATGTAATTTGTTTAAATACTTATACACCTATTTTGTAACATTTGTAAATTATAAATCAAACCACTTTTCTAAGTACAAATAGCTTTACTTAATTCATTAAATTAATTAATTTATTTTACAATATGTATAACTTAAAAAAAATTAATTTTTTTTTTAAAAAAACCTCCCAAACGGCTATATAGCCGTTGGGGCTTTGGGTGGGGGCAGGGGGGTCCTGGGGGTGGTGGCGTGGGGAGTGGGGTTCAAAAACATCTATAAATACATCTATTTTCTAACATTTTTCTACACCTCTTCTCCAATTCTTCTTCATCTTCATCTTCTCTTATTATCCTACATTCCTACGTATACATATACCATTTTAAAGATGGAAAGTACATCTTCCCTTATGCAAAACAATTTTGATAAGTGGAAGGACCCGAAGACCGGACTGTGGAGGGCAACTTGCAAGTAGTGCAAGAAAGAGTGTAGCTCAGGGCGTTCACACGGATACGGGATGCCAATAAAACATATGAAGTCCTGTGACCAAGGGAAAACAACAACCAACGGTGGCGGAAATTCCAATTGATATTTATTAGAAAATGTATTTCGTATTGTTATTTTTTTCTCAATTCTCAAATGTAGTTTCTATTTCAAATAAATGCACTTGAACTTTGTTTTTAATAGGAATTTGTATAATATATAATTATTTAAAAAAAAAAAATTGAACCGGCCCGGCGGGTGGCCCGACCCGTGACCCGGTCGGGTGGCCCGGCCCGAACCGGAACCGGCCATAGCCCGGGCCGGTCCCGGGCCAACCTATACCTGACCCGAGGCCCGACCGGGCTTTGGCCCGGCCCGGGTCCATCACTAGCCCCACCTAGTTGTTATACCGTGATAGCGGCTCATTGTGAGCATCCTGCTCACAGAGCTAATACCCATGTGAACATTAATTTTTTTTGTTTCAGTAGTAGGATGGTGTAACTCGTGCTTAAAGAAATATAACTCACATTCATAAGAAATGTAATGTGAGGCAAGTTGAAATATAAATTGTCTAATACGGAGTATATGAAATAAAACATTGATTTCAATATAAACAATGAAAAATGGTCTATATGCTCAATTACATTACATAAATAGTGAATATGATTTTCAATATAAGGGCTATAAAAAAATGATATATTTAAAAAAAAAAAGTTGTACCCGAATATTGAAAATGTAACTCGCGCAAATGAAGATGTAAATCGCGTATAAGAAGATGTAACTAGCGCATAAGAAGATGTAACTCGCGCACACGAAAATGTACATCGTGTATAAGAAGAAGTAACACCATATGTTATCAAATATAACTCCAGGAATCGGGTATAAATGTACCTCTCACATATGAAAATGTTAATTGCACATATTAAAATGTAATCTCATTCTTTATCAAATATAAATCGAAATAAACAAACTCAATGTCTTAAAAAAACTCTAAAAACATATAAAAGAAACAAAAATATATTATAAAAAAGTGTATGAATATGAAAAAACACTTTTTGCACTTCACTCTAACCCAAAGTAATTCATTCGATCTCTTTTTTAGTTAGTGGAATTTATACTCATCAATAGAATACAGTCTATTACTTTTAATAATGGAAGGTCTTGCCAATTCATATACCTTTGTTACATGTTTATGAACATCACATTCTGTATTTGCTATCGTTTTACACGGTAAGAGGCTCTTGATGCTCCTTACAAAATTAAGTGCTAGACAATCTTGATAAACAACTAAGGAGTATATGATTTTTTTTACTGGAAACTGACCATATATTATTCCAACATATCATTCTCCAAGTCGAGTACAATGCAATCCTAACGAAGAACTATATGATTATAATGAGAAATTTACAAGGACTGTGATCAAAAGAAGTGGTGATTCCTAAAATATGACTAAATACCTTTGTATTCTTAAATTAAAGGTGTTTTATGTGTATGGTATGTATTTGATCTTATTTTTTCTCTCTTGAATTCAATTATTGCTCCTATAGAGTCATGTTTAAGTATCATAGTCATAAATTATGAATCTATGAATGGTTTAGTCACATTTAGGTAAATTTCTCTTAATGAATATATAGGCTTCTGCAAGAGTCTCGATTACAGCGATTTGATCATGTGCGTAGAAAACCGAGTGATGCACTTGTTAGACGAGTTGAGAGCTAGTGAGAACAAATGGATAGAAGGAGGAGGGGAAGACCCAATGAAACTTGAATTAGAGGAATCAAAACTGATATGCTTCTTCTTGGATTGGATGAGAGTTTGGCTTTGGACATAGCAAAGTGGAGAGCGCATATACATGTGGATGGTTGATCTCTTTTCTTCCTTTTCTCTTTCTTTCTTTCTTTTATCTTTTATTTTATATATCATTCTATGTTGTTATATTATTTTCATCTTTTATTTTTCTTATGTCCTTTATCTCTTGTATTTTTTTATCTATCTTTATGTTCTTATGTTATTTTTATCTTATCCATTTTATCTTACCTTATAGAACAACAATTAGGCATGCATTAATGTATGGCGTAGAGTGTTAGGCGGTGAAACAATGTCCACATTCAAAAGATGAGTGTGGCAGAGATGCGTATGTTGCGTTGGATGTGTGTACATACCAGAAAAGACTGCTAGGAATGAGATAATCAAACAAAAGGTGAGAGTAGCACCCATAGAAGATAAGATGCAGGAATCGCGTTTGAGGTGGTTTGAGCATGTGCGTAGGAGACCAAGAGATGCACCTGTTAGATGACTTGAGGGGTGGTAAGAAGAGACGGGGAGGAGGAGGGGAAGATCCAAACAGATTTGGATCTTTTTATGTTCTTATGTTATTTTTATTTTCTATCTTTTTTTATTCTCTTTTATCTTTTTACATTTTCTCTTTCTTATATTCTTATGTTTTTGTTATCTTATATTTAATTATCTTTATCGTATCCGTTTTATCTTACTTTTTTTTTCTTCGTGTTTGTTTTCACTTTTTGGCATCGATATCATGGATCGATTCATGTTAGTTGACCCCTTAAATCTTTTGGGATTAAGGCTCGGATGTTGTTGTTGTATCTTTATTCTCCTTTTTGCTCTAATATCATGGATTGATTCATGTTAGCCGACCCCAAAATCTTTTGGGAATAAGGCTCAGGTGTTTTTGTTATTGAATCTATAGGCTTCGCCCGTGTACTTGACATTCATGTAATTTCCATGTTTATATTTGGCTTTTTAATTAGTTTAGATTGATTATTACTTTGGAAATTACACACTTTTGGTGTAATAGTTTAGTCTGTAAAATAATTGTAATTTGTTTACATTAGGTTCATTCTGAGCTCACACAGGTCCAAGAACACTTTAGGGACCAATGGTGAACATCACAAGTGGAAGGAAGGTGCAAAAATTCCAAGAAAAAATGAAGATCCTGATTTTTGGTCTTGTACCCGGTCGGGTATGACCTATACCCGATCGGGTAAGTTGATGAAAAATCAAATCGGATAAATCCGCGAACAAGGCAACGTGCAGGGAAGATTTTAACCACGATCGAGTGTCAATACCCGATCGGGTAGCCGACATACCCGATCGGGTATGTCCATGTTTTTCCAGCTTCCGCGAAGCAACTGAAGGCCCGGTCGAGTGCCCTATATACCCGATCGGGTATATGACCCTGCAAGCCTAAAAAGCCTATAAATACGCCCCATTTCCTCCACAAGAAGATCACCAATTCCTATATACTTCTAAGCTCAGTTTAGACAAGTTATTTCTTTATATTTTCTTCATGTTTAGTCTCCAAATGAGGAGCTAAACTCTTCCATCTTGGTTTTGCTACTTTGAAGCTTAATGATTTGTAAGTTGTGAGTTATTTTCTTTAATCTTCTTCCTTGAATATTAATTACTTCCTATTCATATTCCATATTAATATTTTGAGCATTACTTAAAGGATCAATTAGTTTTGTTTCATATATTAATTATTACTAGAATCAATCGGTTAATACTTAATACGCTTGTTATTAATTCGGTTCTTTCAAATGGTAGTAAACTTGGATTGTTAATGCATGCTTCTCATGGTTAATAAGCTGAGGGGAATTAATTATATTGATTAAACCAATAAACCGCTTGTGTTGAGGTTATCAATCTCAATCGTTTTCATCTTAAACTTATTGCTACTATCAAGTTAATACACGACGCTTGTTCTATATTGACTCGGTAGTAAGTTTTATTAATGAACGCATCTCGTTATTAATAACTACCCTCGATGAACTGGATATACTCCTCGATTGAGTATTCGAGAGGAAGATAGTTAAATATATAACCGGGATCGACGAACATTTCATTAAGTGGATAAAAGCAAAACCAAGTCTTTTTCTCATTAATTAAATCACATAACTCGTTCATCTTTGTGTTTAAATATAATTTAAGTTCATTCACTCAATCTAAAACCCCCCCTTGTTACTATTTTATAAAAAGAGAAGTATTCCTTTCCTTGCGGATACGAACCTTACTACACTATACTACGTATTAGTGTCGTATTGATATTTATTTTGAGTGCACATACGACAAAGTGCACGTCAGTACTATATTTGTTAGGTTTTTTGGCGTATTTATAACTTAGTGAGTAACTCTTGCAAAATACAGTAAAGTGCACCAGTTTAGTCTTTTAACCTCGGTCATCAATACAGACCAAAACAAAACTGACTGACCAAGCCGACCATCCGAATTCTATTCGGTTCGGTTTTTGGTACTCCATATCCCAAACCCACAAAAAGTAAAACCGCCACAAAACCGACCGGACAAACACCCCTGCACTGCACCAACCAGACTTCTGTGTATCAGCAAGCAAAGAAGGAAAAAACTTGTCATTGTAATGTTCTGTAGCCACAACTGAGCTATGCATGCAAATCGAGTTAGCACTTGTGCCTGCATCATCTGCAAGTCATATACATTCATCAGGGTGAAATTCTAATTATCTTCCGCCGCAAAAGATTGAGCGGTCTTGTTTAGAAACAAGTGAATATTGTACACAAGACATTAGAATGCAATTCAAAACTGCATCAAGTCACTTTCGCGCCAATATAAATATACTGAAAGCACAAGCCAACCCTGCTCGGTAGCAAATTCATGACTTTTTCTTAGATATGCTTCTAATAATGAAGCAAAACTTTTGCATGTTATGAGCTGAACTCTGTAAGATATATTGGTTGAACCTGGATAAGTCTCTTTAAATTTGGGAACCAAAACTTTTGCATATTATGTGATGCAATTCAATAGATTGTCAACTCAACATCAGTCACATGGCTTTCAGTGCAGCCCTGAAGCTGTTTTATAGCATAAGCATAAACTGATAAACTTTTTTTACTTGGACTATCTCCTAGGTGAGACCTGCATAATTGCATATACACTGCACCTTTTGTTCATAAACATTGCACCTTTTGTTGTAATAGAGATTATTCAGAATTCCATTCCTTTCTACATTCACCATAACAATCTATTGACTGTTCATGAGCTGCATACGATAAGATAGTAGAACTTCTTTCTTCATTCAAGCAAATCAATTGTGGATCTCAATAAGCGAATAGTTATCTCACATATGAACTAGGCTCGACATTAGGCCATAAAATTGCAAACCCCTGTTTGGTTTTCCTCGCCCAAACAAACCCAAAGAAAATAATAGATGGCACAGCATAGCAATTAAAAAGCATGAAATGATCATCGTCATTAGTCAGTCCGTCTCACTTACATACGTATTGGATTAAGAATATCTATATGGCGATTTTTCCTATCTTGAGCTGAATACTATGACTATCCAAAAGCACAAGTTACTATCTGTAAGCTGAAGTCATGAAACACTTGACGCTCATTGTGTACTTTCATTGATGGTCGATTACTCGATTCAAACAAATCAACCCTAATAGATAACTCAAGAACTCTGAAACGGATGCATTGAAAATTTGTTCCATGTTCTACACTCAATGTAAAAAAGCTCTTAACAATAGTGAATTCAATGCCATGTCTTCCCCAAGGATCAGAGTATACTTCATTTGTTCCTTTTCACTTCTTACAGCAGCAGAACTATAGCCAAGTACTCATAAATATTTGTTATAGGATGCAGCCTATATGCAAGGCAATACTCAAAAACACACATAATTGCTATTCATACACATTTACCAGGATAGAAAGCAGGATCTATGAATTATCTGAAACAAGAGAGCATAAAAGAAACAACAAATTGTTTCAAAAAAAACAAGGAAAGAACGAACCCTTTTATTAATTCTATACTGCGACGCTTATATCAGAATTTAAAATTCGGATTTAATGCTAGCATGAGGGTACAGGAGGGTAGAGGCGAACGAACTGGTCTTGCTGTTCTTGGTATCGGCGCTTGAGGTAATTCTCAAGGATCTCCATGACGCAGACGAAACGCTTCATTTCCTCGAGTTTCTGGCTGAGGTCGGCTTCCCTAGCTCTGGCTCGCTCAAGCCGAGCCTCCGTCTCTGCCAACCGGTCCCGGAGATTGTCCACCACTACCGCGTTTTCATTCACCGCAGCTGTGGCTGCTCGAGCTCGCGTATGGCCGCCAAACTCGTCCTTCGACGGGAATCGTTGACCGCCGTAACACATCCTCTATTTCAAATCCGATTCGGCCTGTCGACGACCTACTGCGAGAACGGAGTCCCACCACCTTGATGGCTTGATGTGCTTGTTCTCCGCCTCCGATTGATGATATGGACTTTCTTTTATATGAACTTTCATAAAGGTCAATTAAGTCAATTAAAGCAGTGTTTGGGGTTGCTTAAAAAAATTGCTTTTCATTTTTTGGCTTTAAAAAAGCTAAAAAGAGTGTTTTCAAATTACAGCTTCTGCTTAAATTAATCATTTAAAAGCTAAAAGCTGGAAGCAGGTGGAAGGGTGCTTTAAACTGCTTTTCACTTTTTCTATTACACAAAAAGTACTTATTTTACCAAACACTACCAACTTTTACTTTTTCAGAATCACTTTTTTCTCAAACACTACCAACTTTTACTATTAATCACTTTTCCCCAAATCACTTTAAAAATCACTTTTTTAAAGTTGAAGCAATTGCAAACACTCCCTAAGTCCTTCTATATGAGGTTCTGTACAGCCGTCGCGATTTGGGGCAGTTCCCGGTGGAATTTTTTGATGAAATTTTTTGAGCATCTTATTCATCAAGTCTAGTTTACTCATACCAAATTTCAGCTAAAAATTCAATCGAGAATACATTCAAATTAATTCTTGAAGATAACTGCGCATTTTTGCATTCTCGAATTAATTTGAATGCGCTCCCGATTAAATTTTTAGCTGATTTTTGGTATGAGTGAACTAGACTTGATGAATAAGATGCTCAAAAAAATTCATCAAAAAAACAACAATGGCGGGGTCCCGCACACCGAACGCGCCACCCGAACGGGTGGTCAGCAAGTGGAGGCCGCATTTAATACAAAAGCATGGCGGCAGCAAGTGGGGGCATGGTTGCCTACGTGGCAGGGGTGGTAGTCTACCGGATTCAGCCACGTGTCCAGCTTACCCATCCCCATTTTAGTATAAATACCTGCATTAAGATCATTGTAAAGGATTAACATTTTGATACTCAGAGCTTAGCAAGTAGAAACACTTCTCTTATTCTTGTATTCTTGTACTTACCTACCGTTCGGGTAGTTCAGTGTAATTGCAGCATTACTGAATACGAGTTAGCTCCTGAGTTAAACAATCTTTCACTGTCTTATAGTTTATACACTTTCTAAACCAACCCAACATCCTTACAATATCCAAAGCTTGTATTGGGCTTTCGGATCTTCGGGAATAAACCTCAACATTGGCGCCGTCTGTGGGAAACCGAACAAAAATCCCAAACAAAACCTTTGATCTAAGCACCATTTTCCTTAAAATGGCTAGAATTACTCTAGCAACTCTGAGTTCTGCTACCAGAGGACGGAGGGGCAATGGATCCTCCGAGGGGTGGTCTATGCAAGGGCAGGCCAGTGGCAGTGCCATCCAGGAATTTGAGAGCCATGCAGCGGCCATGCAGCGCATGGCGAACGAACAGGAACAGGGAGGAGGATACACCGACGAAACTCATGAGCAATTCTCCCCTGTCCGTCCCATGCCATCCTTCGACGAAGGGGAAGACACTGAGACCACCACGGCCTCAGCACATTCCCAGGAGCACCGAGGAAATCACTGGAGGGCCCACGCCCCCAGATATGCACAGCAAGCACCGGCCAATCGAACCCCGTTCATACCTTGAAACGAAGCCCAACACAGGGAACCTAGCCCCATGATAGATCCCGTTGGGCAACATTTTCAGTTCGTGGAGAGGGATGGGGAGCGTTTCATCCGGAGGAGGGCAAACACAGCTGCCCCTCCCCCGGACAGGATGCGATAGTTTGTGGAGGCGAGGATACCACAAGCTCCCCGAACGGCCCAGGATGAAGAAATTGTCGAAATGAGGAGTCAGATGACTGAGCTCAGATAGCAGATGAACCGGACGCCCCAGCAAACCCCGCCAGCACGGGTTGGGATCACTTCTCCCTTCACGAGGGAGATCATGAATGCAGAAATTCTGAGGGACTGCCGACCCCCGGCCGGCCTTACGTACGATGGGGTGGGAGATCCCCATGTACATTTGAGAAGTTACCAGGGTGGGCTTATGCTTTTAGGGGCCACTGACGCTGCAATTTGAAGGCTGTTCTTCAGCACCCTCTGAGGACCAGCCCAGGAATGGTTCAAGACACTACAGCTCGGATCGATTGGGAGCTTCGCGGAACTGTCCACTTTGTTCCTGGCACAATTCGCTTCCAGCACCAGCCCGAAACTGCATTTCGGGTACCTGACCAGTGTGAGGCAAGGACCAAAGGAATCGATCAGGCGGTTTCTTAACCAGGTGGAGGACCGAGACTCTGAAGGTTACCGGCATGACAGATGAAACGGCCATCCTTCTGTTCACCGACGCCCTTCAGACTGAGGATCTATATAGGGAACTAAAGAGGAATCCAGGGACCAGTTACCCGGATGTCCCGGAAAGGGCCAAGAGCCATGCGGCTCTGGAAGAAGAAATCAAGGTACGGGACCGAACGGCCCCTCAACCTACCACAAGGTTGGCGGACCGACTTGGCCCCATGCCGGCACCTGCACCCCACCGTCCGAAGAACCGACATTTCACCCCGTTTGTGATGACCATTGCAAACATCTTCAAGCATGAATCGGATACCACCCCCCCCCCAAACCCCCCCCCCCCCCCCCGACTGATTCAGGGGTTTTCATGGGAACGGATCCAAATGCATTCTGCAAATACCACAAGCGGAGAGGGCATCATACGCAATACTGCCGAGCTTTGCAGATTGCAATTGAGGAACTAATCCACCAAGGGTACTTGAGAAAGTACATGAGCACCAACCCAAACGGCCCTCCCCCGAACCAGCGTCAGAACAAGAAGCCCAACAGCTGGAAGAGAGACGTCCAGCGTGACGGTGAGCGTAGAAACAATGCATACGTCCCACCCAGCGACACGACAGAAGGTTCGGGGAACCCAGGGAAGAAACCAAGGATGGAGATCAAGGTCATCTTTGGCGGGGGAGAAACCGGGGACACGAACGCCGAACGGAAGAGGTTCGAGCGAAATCTGTACGTGGCCACCGTATCCACCCCACCCCAAAAGAAGGGAAGGGTGGAGCCAATAACATTTGGGGTGGCCGATCTGTAACACCGTCCCCAAATGTATTTACTTTCAAGTAAATGATGTAATAAACCTTATGGAATGATTTACGAATTTACGAAGTTGTAAATTTTTATTATTTCTTTCGCGTGAATAGTAAATTGCACGTGGGACCCACACTGGGAGCGGGGCCGCCCGACTTTCCCGAGACCATATATTTTATTCATCTTGGTCTAGACAATAAATATATAGTGGTGGATATTGCATTTGGGCCATGGAAAGGCCCGGAGTTGACCGATTGGTCAAAGGAAGCCAAAATTACCGGTACTGGTAATTTAACAGATAACAGCCCGAACTGAATTTCGGAGACTCATAAATTAAAGTTGGGGAATGTATATTCATGATACATGTCATAATGAGTAAGAGCCCATAATATATTTTATTTGACCCGATAAAATAAAATATAATTAAAACAGTCCGAAAAATACAACTTTCGGGACCAATTGTACACTTCGGGACAAAAAGGGTTGACCTCCCACATGAGTGGGGGCCAACCCACGATTTTTCCACTCAAAAATTGAGGGAGGGTCGGCTGGTGCATGAAGAGAACATGGGAGGAGGATGTTGATAAGAAAGGAATGGCATCAAAAGTACCTAGGTGGACCCCCATTTTTGCACTCATTAGATCAATGAGACAAAAGTCCATCCCCATCCCTCTCTCCCCTCTCTATTTCGGCCAAGGCACAGCAACCAAGAGCAAGGAAGCTCCTCATCCTCCTCCCTCCATTGTTGAAGAGAAATCATCAAGGAAGAATCACCCAAAAAGGAGCTAAAGTGCTAAAAGTGTGAAATAATTAAGGTAATGACCTTATTATAACTACTTCTTTATTCTTCTCCTACCATATGAGATATATATGATGTGAAGGATCCTTAAGAGGGTTCTACATGTTATAAGTATGGATTAATGGGTTGGAAAGTGATTCCATATCCAAGAACGGACTTAGAAGCCAAAACGACCGGTTCACCGGAAAATAACCTTTTTGAGGTTATTTGTATTAATATGGGTTTTATGATTATAAAACCTTGTTGGGAACTTGTGAAAGGTATTTCAAGTGATTTCACAAAGTTGGAAAAGTCGCCGGAGTTGTCGCCGGAGTTTCACCGGAGTTCAACTAAGAGGGGTAGAACTTCATACGCTAGTTCAAGGTGAGTGGACGGCTTAATATCTTATAACTTTTGGGTTAATTATGAGATTACCTAAATAAATGTTATATGATTTCATAATGATGTTTAAAAGATATTTAAACATGTGATTAGCCAATAGGGTTAAGTTTGTATGAAAGAAATTAATTGTTGATGCATGGAATATGATATGAAGAATTATACGAAATGCATATTTGTTTGAAGTGTATTAGAAGCACAAATGAATATTATTAACTTAATTATATGATGATTAAGTTGATACACACAAGGTATGAAATGGCGGTCAACGAAAACGTGGACCGAAGAACAAAGGATTTAATTAATACCGGTTGGTATTAATTAATTATAAACCTATATAAATGCATGGCTTTGCATGGATTGTGATACATAAGATTTATGTATTGGATTAGTTATGAGTAACTAAGGATGATATAGACTCTATCTAGGTTGATAGGAGGTTGATCATAGGAAAAACTTGGTGGAGGACCCTAGTACTCAAAAGGTACTTAACACTCAAAATTTGGTGGAGGACCCTAGTACTTAAAAAGTACTTAACACTCAAACTTGGTGGAGGACCCTAGGACTTAAAGTCCTTAACACTCAAACTTGGTGGAGGACCCTAGTACTTAAAAGTACTTAACACTCAACACTTGGTGGAGGACCCTAGGACTTAAAAGTCCTTAACACTCAAACTTGGTGGAGGACCCTAGTACTTAAAAGTACTTAACACTCAAAACTTGGTGGAGGACCCTAGGACTTATGAGTCCTTAACACTCACAAACCGGTGGAGTATCCAAGGATTATGATCCTAAAACTCATAGATTGTGATATACAAGT